TTTGCATAACCCTCCAAAAGTCCACTTTCGTCCCCAGAACCCCAAAATCTGAGTAATTTACACGTGTCATTTGGTGATATGGGGGGAGGGTCGGGGGGGGGCGGGGTGGATGTTGCGGATTGGGCGAAGAGACGAAGTGGAGGAAGCGGACGGGTAGACAACGCACCTCGATATTCGAGGCCCCACTTGAGCTTAACAATGACGGGCTTGCCTGTGAGCGAGGCGAGAAAGGGCTTGGGATGGATGACAGAGGATTTGGAGGACATGTCAGCGAGGATCGCGGCATAGAAGTGGCGGATGGGAAGGAGGGAGAAGCAAGCGAGACGGAGGAGGCGTAGTTGCGGGAAGTTGGCGGCGGCAAGTGAGAGGGAGGGGTTTTCAATTTCGTGCGTACGTGGACACGTGGACAACTGTATGATCAGAGACGAAAGGGGAATAAAAGAAGGAAGGATTTGAAGAAGTTGATGTTGAAGAAGTTGATGTTGAAGAGGAAGAAGGTCAGCTTTTTGCGAGTTTTATCGCAAAGTGAAGATTGCATTTGCTGTTGCCTGTTGTAGGATCAACCCTACGACTGTACTCCATGCTGCAGCCTGGAATTCGGACGAGTAGACAATAATGGGGCAGTCGAAGCGTTCAACAAAGACATTCTTCGTAGGGCATTCCGTGAAAGCCGCTTCGTGCGCTACCAGCAAAGAGCTACTCCTTCTAAAGTCCAAGTCATGCGCTACCAACAAACACCTGCTCCTTCTAAAGTCCAAGTCCACTTCGAGACCTACCGTCTACCGTACACTACGCAATGCAAGCAATAATCGATATGCAAACTATAATAAACCCAATCCAAAAAAAACAACCATCCCCTTCCATCCCCCCCACGTCATCCACCCGATGTCGTCCTCCACGCGCCTCTCCCTCTCCGACTGCGCCCTAGCCGTGCAGTTCCCGCCCCTCCCATCCTCGCCGCTGGACGCCGACGCGCAAACCCTTCACGCGGCGACCGACCTTTCCCCCCCTCTGACCGAGACCAACATCGGCGCCACCCTCTTCGTCCTGGTCACGCTCACGCCGCCGACCCCGACCGCCACGCTCTCCGCCTCGCTCCCCGCCCTCGCCGACGTCTCTGTCACGCTCGGCCCCACGCGCGCCGCCGCCCGCCTCTGCCCGCTCCCGCTGCTGCGCGAGTCGTCCTGGCAGCTCGCCTCCCCCGCGCACCCCGCCCCCGCGCACCCCGCCCCGCGCCTGTGCAAGGGCCTGTGGGTCCTCGTCCGCACGCCTCCGCAGACCTCCCACCTCATCCCCCCGCTCCCCGTCTCCGGCCCGCAGCACGTTTACGCCCACCTCACCCACCGCCACCCCGCTCACTCGGCCCGCAACTCCCCCGTGTGGGCCACCATCGACCGCGCCAGCCGCCTCTTCGCCAAGCCCGTCGCGCTGCACGCGTCCCGCCCGGTGCTCGTCAACCAGCCGCTCGAGATCGCCTGCTTCCACGTCCCCGTGCCGGACGAGACCGACACCGCCTTCGTTTGCATCACCGCTAAGAACGCTACCGCCGACACCCTGCTCTCCATCGTTCCGCCGTACATCAACGTCAACCGCTCCCATGTCGTCGTTGACCCGAGCCTCACAAGCCCCGCGCCAGGGTCGCGCCAAGAGCTCCCTGCGCCCGTTGAGATTGCCATGCCGCTGAATGACCGGTACGAGTTCGTCCCGATGTTCACCTCCAACGACCCCGCTGACGACGACGACGACGACCTTTCCGCCGAGCTCTCGTCGTACAACGCGGCGCAGCTTTGGCGCGGCGACAGCGCTACCACCAACTCTGGCGACGACTACGGTTTGTTTATCCCGTCATTCAACCACCGGCAGCAGCGCGCCGTTCCGCTCGGGCCGAGAGAGGTCTTCAATTTTGTTTACAAGGTCGTCCAGAAGGGGCGCAACGCGGCCGAGCCCGCGTTACTGCATAAGGAGGCCGCAGCCAAGGAGAACAGGTCGCAGCCAGAGGAGACGGCGTTCAAGCTCAAGCACGGCACTTGTTTGGAGACCTCCGTCGCCGTCGCATGGAACTGCGTCCCCAAGCTGTCCGCCATTGTGGCTGCTCCAGCCGACGCAGACGCGGACGCGGACGAAGCATTCCATCGCGAGCTTTCTAGCGGCGGGGTGCTGGCCACGGGCCGGCGCGGGAATGTCGCCGTACGCTGGACGTGCGTGCATTGGCGGCCGCCGGCGTTGATCGAGGACGTGCTTGTTGCTTTTTCGGGCCCGCCTGTATGTAATGTGGGCGACAGATTGTCCGTTTCCGTCACGATTCTTAATCAGACGGCAGACGACCTCGTGTCGGCCGCGGTGTGCGTCCAGCAGGAGGAAGATGCTCAGATGGATTTGCTCGCTTTGAGGACGGTGCTCGTGGTCGGGCATATTGCTTCGGGGCAGGAAACGACTGTACAGATCCCTTGCATTGCTTTCAGGGCAGGGTCGTTGTCGCTAGGACCTGTGCAAATTATGGACCGCGGGAATCCAGAGGAGAACAGAACTGTGTGGACGTCGCAGGCCGCGTATGCGGTCTTCGTGGTGGATCCCAAGGCGCTTATACCGGGCGACCCGCAGCCACCGAGGCCCTTTGTCGTACAGGAGAACGAAACAAATATGATTGCCGGCTAATGTCAAGACGAAGTATCCTGCAATGAAAGTCTAGTTCATAAAACTGGCCTTCATCGCAACGCAATGAAAGGGATGGCTCAGTATTGGCTTCCTATCGCATGGTGGCATTCGGCAAGCACAACATCGGGTTTACAGTTTACATCAAAATGTGACAGAGATGCGGTTTTTTCTTCCAAGCGCCGCTTTCGACGTCGTGGTTGGATAAGAAATTCCATCTCGATTTCGTCTGGACCCCCACACTCCCTTTAATTTGGATCCACGCACATGCGGTACTCACCTGTACTGCCAACAACAAGAACATACATAAAATGATTTCATCATGGAATAGCATAACAAATTGTGCGTTCTACAAACGCGTCGCAGAACCCTTCACGGAAAATGCGAAACGATACGAGCAAGCTTGTGTAAGAATTAGTGAAAGGCGATCCGAGGAGCGGGAGCGCATATTTCACGCCACAAACTCGCTGTGCAAATCCTGGCCTTGGTGTGACAATATAAATCCAGAGTACTTGGAACGTTTTCACCATGTGGTGTTTGTGCGTCGTAATCTAGGGATCACAGTTAAATCGAGAAACCCAGAGCAGCGACCGGTGAATCTAACTGTCCGCTGAGATACTTGCATACATGCGCTTTGTATGCTTCCACTTCTGGACCACCCTTATAAATCCGAAAGGCAGGATTGCATTCTCAGTGCTTCGCAAAGTGCAGTAATAAAGCCTAACTTTTATCATACTGAATGCATTTAGCTAGTGAAGATGAAGCGACGGCGCCTTGGATATATCGGGCTGAGAAGCGACATCGAGGTACATGGAATATATCATCCAATGACCGCTCCATGATGAGAAGTATAGGATCAAGTTCAGTCGTCGTGCGAAGTGTATGAATGTACAACAGCACCCCGCATATTTATATTTGCTCGCGATTGCGAGACCTGTCGCCAGGCGATGATCGACAGCACTGTCGCCATAGCTGTCTGACCAAGAGCATAAGTGTCGAAATGAGAAAGAAAATGGAAATGGCAGTGGTGGTGAATTAGAGGATGCAAGAGCAGAAGAAGCTATAATCTTCAGCAGATTGATAGGTCGCCCGTCCTTAGGTACCTTATGAGAACAGGACCTTTTGAACAGCATGGCACAATGCTCATTGGAAGTATGAAGACATTGGGTGAGGGGAGGCCCTTTCCGGATAAGAAGAGAGATACGGAAAAAAGGCACTATATCTCCAAATAAAAGTCGAAGGTGCTGTTTAAATAGCGTCATCTGTTTTATTGTGCGCCCATCTACGGTACTCAGCAGCACGGACCTACAAGTTGTAGGTCATGGTACTGTAACAATAGCACCGTTACATCCAGAGTGATTATGTTCAGTAGATGTATAGATGCTATTCGAGCACATCAATAACAGCTGAAGAGCGCTTCGAGGCAGTCATCATGTATCTAATGCTCCCTTCCTTCTTTTTGCGCCGTTCAGTATGCTGGAGGTAGCTACTTGATAGATGTCGTAAAAGAACAAATCGTCATCCTCCGCGCAAAACATCTATTCATGTGGTAGATCAAACAGTTTGTCGGTTGTTGAGCGATTCTAACAAAACAAGTTGTATAAAATTCAAAAAAGAATGCAAAAAGCTCAATGATAGAACGGTATTGGTCATAAAGCGAGGGAGAAATGTGATGAAGAAATTCTCGAGTTGCAAAAGCTGGGCGCAAATTCCAAAATCTCATGAGATTTCATATAGGGAAAATGCTGTACACAGAATTTATCATTACTCCAATGTACATCCTTTCACTTGCACCAGGCGCTTGACAGGGATGACTCCATTCAGAAATGGGTCGATAGAACCGCTATGGAATCACTCGTTGGCGACTTTTGCACACAATCATAACCTTACATCTCGACGCGTACCAATAGTTTTAGAGAACTTCTTTTTGGAATTACAAGTGGGCTCCGTGCGCGCTTCGCGCGCCGAGCCAAGTCCGCGTAGAGGACCAATGGTGGGGAAGGGTGGCAATAGTTAGATGTAGAGATAATGGCGTTTACTTTTTTGATGACTGCTGAAGGACCTGGAGGTACACTACGTTTCGCGTTGTTTCATCGGACTCTCGAGTGAGAATAGTGACGTTGCTTGGGTGAGTAGTCCTCGATAAGGCGACATAGAGTTGACCGTGCGAGAAGCAGTGATCTCGTAGGTCGAGACCAATGCGGCCACCGAGGGATCGGCCTTGCGCTTTGTTCGTTGTAAGGGCGAAGCACGTCCGAATGGGGAACTGGGTTCGGGTAAAGCCAGGGATGGGAAAGTTGTCGTCGCCCGGTCCGCAGGGCATTCGAAGAAGGCAGAGTCGGTTGCCTTCGTGAGACCCGGCGATAACGCGTAGAAAGAGAAGGTTGTTGGTCATGTTCTCGATTACATATCGTGCGCCGTTGACGTGACCGGTAGCGGGATCGAGATTGCGGAGAAGCATGACGATGAAGCCTTTCTTGAGCTTGAGCTTGTGGTCTGGTAGAGCAGACCCGGCCGTCAAGGTGGTGAGCATTTCTGTGGGATAGATCAGCGCGTTTGTGTTTTCGTTCTCGACCTTGTTTGCGCTTAAATACGTTCGATACGGTCCCGAAATCACGTTGCCGATGACCTCGTTGACTTCCTCGAGCGGCTTGTTCTTTGTGGTGAGTATAACGCGCTTGGTGAGCCAGGCAGGGTCTGCGTGATTGTCTCGAATCCCTTGGAAGACCTTGACGCAAAAATTGCGGATAGTGTGCTCGAACGCAACGGATTGCGGTAGTGGGATCCATTCCGGGCGCTGTTCGCCTTGAAGTCTGCCTTCCCCGACGCTGAGGAGGAACTCTGGAAAGTTGAGAGCCTCCACATCTGCTGCAGGGTCCGTTCGGAAAGCAGCAAGGCGCATGTTCTCGGTAAGGCGCAGGAATCGGCACTCTCAACACAGCAGGGAAGCCTTGACGCACGCGCTCACGATTTGACCTCTGGACCCGCCCGGGAGGACGGGAAGGATTTGTCTAAAGTCTCCAGCGAGCACGAGGAACTTTCCTCCGAAGGGCCGGTCGGTTTGCATCAAGTCGCGAAGGGAGCGATCGAAAGTCTCAATGCAATGTCGATGGCACATGACGATCTCGTCCCATATGATAAGATCGACTTGTTGCAGTGTACGGCCAGTATCAGAGTTTGCGGAGAAGCTGCACGTGCTTTCGGCAGATACAGGAATGGGAATCTTGAACACGGAATGAGCGGTGCGTCCACCGTCGAGCAACACAGCAGCAAAAGCAGACGTAGCGACAGCGATAAATTGCTTACGGCGGGTACGAAGGAAGTCCTGAATGGCGTCGAGCACGATTGTTTTGCCTGTTCCGCCAGGAGCATCGACAACGAAGAGACGACCACTTCGTATCGGCACAGAAGGTCCCGCAACGGCGCTGGAGGATCCCTGAAGCAATGCAGAGACGGATATGCCTGGAAGCATAGAGCCCACTATTTCGTCAAAGGAATGGCGTTGATTTGTGTTCAACAGCGTCAAGACGTCTGTAGTCGCTCTTCCCACTGCTGCGCTCGTGCTTCGGGGGTCTCGATCTCGTTTTGCTGTTCCAAAGCGTGCAGGCTGTCATCGGGCAGTGGGAGTCCGAAGTTTGCGTGTGTCCAGTCGGAACGCACGGTCTGCAGGGCCTCCTGTACCTCTCGAAGCACGTAAGATGTGGCGTGGTGATCATTGCGAAGCTGCTGTCTTCGAATGCGTTGTCCGCGTGCACGATTGCGAATATCGGTGAGAAACATGTCCAGATGGTCGTTCCACAGCGAGAGAGGATCCGAAGGCTGGCAGTGTGCTAGAATCGTAGCAAACAGATGAGAAAGAGGAACGAAGCTTGACCGGAATGAATCTCGGATTGCGTGCTTCCACTCGGCATCGTCGGCCAGCAATCCGAGTCGTAAGCAGTCTTGTCAGAAGCTGGTGCCCTGCTCGCCGTCGATATTTCGCAAGTTATTGAAGGATGTTGCCCCTGGCACTTGTGTGAGGAGATGGCGAAGAAAGTAGCGCTCACCCTCTCTCGGACTGACAGTGTAGATTCGACCGACTACGTTGGCACCTGTACCACTGAAATCGTAGGCTTCCTCTTCGCTGCTGGCGTTCCGTCTTCGCAGGGTTGCTCTTGGACTCCATGACTTGGTGCGTGTCTTTCACGTAAAGTACCTTGGAAACTGGTGGTACCGAATATGCCTCGCGCTTGGGTACTTCTCGTTGGCTTTAAACCACTCGGTCAGCTTCGTGCCTGTTGCTGGTCGAAGCGCCGCCTCCTGCTCTCGTCCTTCCTCAAAGTACACCGTGTGGTGGTTGGGCAGATGCACTGCAAGCCTGACTACTGGAGGATTGCGGTCTACAATGTCAAAGGAGAATAACCTCCATGCGGCCTCCGATGCGGAAACGTATCTGGCATCTTGGAAGTTGGAGATCTCGTCGTAGCGCTCGTTCTCGGCAGTCATTTCCATGATCACTCAGTCTTGTCCCTTGCACACATACTTGAAGAGGTACTTGATTCCGCCAACGCGTGACAAGCAGAGTTCCACATTGAAATGGCAAGCGAATGATCGTAGAAGCACAGTACTGTTGGAAACGACCCAGGAGTTGTCGAACACGACGGGTTGCTGTCGTCGGCCAATACAGGAGGGTCGCTCGATCGAGACGCCACCTGCAGAGGTTGCCCTTCTTCGGTACGTGATGTAGTACTCACTGTCGGACTGGCTGGTTTCGTGTTTGAACGATTTTGGAAACCCTTTCCTGCAGTACCGCTCGCCCATGCACACGGCTGTTGGATTGTGTTCTCCACATGGATTCTGAATCATATGCTTGAGCACGACCTCTTGGAGTTCTGGATCTTGGGCAGACGGGATCTCGGCAGAGATAATGCGGTCGACGTTTTCGGGAGTACGCAGATCATTCTTGGAGACTTCATCTAGGAAAAATACAACGTGAGCGTGGGGAAGACCGCGTTTCTGAAACTCGATGACTCGTACATGGGCAAAAACGGTTCCGAATACTTCCTCGTTGATGACCAAGGACATGAGATCTTTCATTTTGAGACGAAACACACGTGCGCACAGATCCGGTCTGTCCTGAGGCGTTTGGTTCGGCAGTAGGGCTCTTGTGATCTCCGGCCAGCTTGAATTGCATGTCATGGTGAGGAAGATGTCCGGGTGGCCAATTTGGTTCGATATAGCAATGATGTCGTGCATCTGCTGCCTCATATAGCGGTCACCTCCAATGTACGTGGAAGGGAGAATGAACAGTCGTCCCGCACGCACGGCGTCGGCTTCATCTTCAGCACGACCGGAGTCTCCTAGGCTGTCTCGCAGTGAGGTGTAGTCGGCGGCTCGAAGTTTTGTCTGGTTGTGGCGGAGATAAGAAAGTTTCTGACTCCACTTTGCAGAACTGGTCAACCAAGTATTGCTGAATGAGTCGTGCTGCGTGCAAGATTGTGCTGAACTCGCCTGCTCTTTCAAACAAATGCCATCCGTAGTACATCATCGGAGTAATCTTGGTACGTCTGCTGTCTTGAACACTGGAGAATCGAAGCTCTGGATACCATCCATCTATACCGTTCGGGAACAAAAGCACGTAACTCAATGGATCCAATGCGCGATGACTGACTGAAATCGGATCCAGCACTTCGTTCCCGTTACTGTTCAGAGTCCCTTGCCTGCGCACGACGATATCTCTTCGCCCAATCTCTCCGTCTTCATTTCTAGGGATCAATGCGGCCACTTCAGAAGCTTTGGGACCATTGTGCCGGCGCACGTGCTCATGACTTGGCCTGCGGTCGGCATGGATGACCATCTGGTACGTGGCTGGAGTGTTGTTGTGAGGAAATTGAGCCCATTCTCGCATACACAGAAACGTCTGCACGTAGGGGTTGCATTCGTGCAGCATATGCGTCAGTTGCGTCATAAGTGCCTCTTCCAGTCGTCTAGAGGTTCCAAGCCCTGTGCGCGTCTGAGTGGCGTAGTCAGTGTCGTGACTGTAAACAGAAGCAAAGCAAGGCCGCCGCCCCTCGGATGGCATCATAGGACCCATGTAATGGTACATGCCGCCCTGCATCGTCATTGTGGGGTTAAAATTGGAAGGACCGGGCCGTCTGTTCTCCCATTTGGCGACCACGGATGCCATAGACAGCGCTGCATTGTATGCTCGAATGTTGTTACGGAAGCGGCGGGCCCTTGGATTATCATCGATGAGAAGAGAGCGCAGAAGAGCTGGCGGGTCGGGGAGAAGGGGCAATGACAGCTTCCCCTTCCCACAGCATGTGGAACAGATGGGCCTTGCGGCAGGGCTGCTCACGGTGCGTTCTTGGACGAAATGCAGAGCTTTGCAGTGCGAACACTCAACACGGATCATGCCGAGATCGCGGTACGAAGGCGAGTACTCGGGTAGTGGGGGGAAGAGCTTTCGAGAGGCACTTCGAGCCTGGCCGTCGGATCTTTGCCGCGCATTCCGAGTGGGTGTGTCTTGTGCATCCCTTGCTCGTTGGATGGAGAGACGGTCAAGGTCTCGCCGCGCCTCACGAATAGTAGTACATTCCTCTGCTCTGGCGCCTCGTTTCGTAATGCGATCCGCTTCGCGCCGTGCATCTCGGAGGGGGGAATTTTCTTCCGCTCTAGCGCCTCGTGTTTCAATGCGATCTGCTTCGCGCCGTGCATCTCGAAGGGGGGTCGTTGCGTCAGCTCTTGTCTGTTTCATTGAGACACGAGAGGACTCCAATCGAGTTATCGATCAGGAGTGCTCTCAACCTGTAGCGGGCGTTGCATAGATGCTTGATTCGAGGCACTGGTACCTTCCGCTGCTGCTTGGCGCTCTGGAGACTCTCTGGTACCCTCTGTCGGTGCTCGACGGACTCTGCGCGCCCTGTCTCTCTCCCCGTTTCGACGGAGACGCTGTTCGCGCTGCTCAGAAGTCTCTGCTGCTCTTCGTGCTGCAGTACTTTCCCGGTCGGTTTGACGTCGCGCTTCCCTCTGAGATTCGGTTTGTTGCCCCCTCCAGATTCTCGCACGGGCTCGAACTGCCTCACGACGTGCTTGAGCGTCAGATTCAAACTGTTGCGCTCTTCTTGCCCTCGCACGCGCGTTTCTTTGCTGCCTTCTTGCTTCTGCCACGTCTTCATCCGCTGGTCCCGCCATACCTGTTCTGCTCTACCTGTTCTGCTCGGCGCGCTAGTGTTATCCCTGTATGTGCAGCTAGGGTTGACGCAAGTGCGAGGGGTCCGTTTTAGATCGCTATGAGTCGTAGCAAGCAGTCTTCAAAGGTCTAAACGTCACGTCAGCCAGCTAGGTCGTCCGCAAGAGCACTTAGCAAAAGAGTAACAATAGGGCCTTTATTGTCTTGTCACTATCCCGTGATCGATTGGAGCTTCCCCTTGTGCTTCTTGCCCGCCAGGTGTCGCCTAAAGTCGTGTGCACTTGCAACCGTGCACGCACACACCTCGCACCGGAATGTGCGGCCCGCTTGATTCACTTGAGCCACGTGCCCTTCGGTATGCGCATGCCCGTCCCACAGTACCGCGCGCGTGCAATGGAAGTCGCAGATGTCACACGTGTACATGGGTACACTCCGCAACACAGCAGTGACAGCTGGCAAGGCGCGCGCCCGCGGCCGCTCGATCGCACCTGGCACACGTAGCGCACGGAACGTAGGAATTGTGCGCAGCGGGAAACGTGGCAGACGTGGGAGCGGGGCGCGCGGTACACGTGGTGCGGGTACACGTGGTGCGAGTACATGTGGTGCGGGGGCTGGCGCAGGGGCGCGTGGGAGACGTGGCACACGTGGGAGCGGCGCGCGCAGTACACGTGGGGCGGGCGCGGGCGCAATTCTGGGGACGTGTACACGTGGAGTGCGCGCGCGCGGAGGAGCTGGTTGTAGGACTGTGACACGTGTGGTCGCTGGCGGGGAATCGCCGAAATCGAGGCGGATCGGGGTCGCGGCGCGGAGCGCGCGTCGTAGTTCTTCTCTCTCTTGTTCCGTAGACACTGCGTCAAAAAAGCACACACCGTCAAATGTCAGTAAGCGTTCGCGTGCGCTCTAATACCGCGGGCGGCAAGCCGGCCGGAGCAAAGAGGACAGTTAATAACTTACTGATTTCGCGTAGACGGTGTGCCCCGGGATCGCTAGGAACGCGAGACGGATCGGGGCTGTATTATTATTTCTACTCTACTGTAGTGTCAAATTTAAATTTGTATACTACTGTAGTACCGCATTGGTGCCTTTGGCAGCCATGTTTCCCCGTGGCGGCCTGGCGTGCGGCCACGCCGCACCCGCCCAGTCCGCACAGTACCGCCCTCTACACGTGTCCGCGCGCACCCCCCGCAGTCCGCACAGTACCGCGCTCTACACGTGTTCCTGTGGCCGCCGCCACTTTTCACGCCACTTGTCACCGCAGCGCCAATGGCAAGGCAGGCACACACAGACTGACAAACAGACAGACAGACACGGATTTTAGTAGTTGTGGATGAAACGCTCATTTTTTCTGATCCGAAGATTAAACAATATCACACGCAAGCACAGTAATGAATTTTCAATTGAGCAGTGAACTTTAATCGATTCTGGTGTATTCACCATTTTCTTTCTTGCAACTATGGACTATTCTCCTTCCCACGTGATCATTACTTTACGTGCCTCATTTTATTGCAGTTGTCCAAAGCATTTACACAACAATGTTCTGGTTTATACGCGAACCTCCTGACTGCCTGATATACTTACACTTTGCCCTGAAAGTATTGAAACGCTCCTCAAACCCTACAGTTCTGATGGAACAATTCGACCCCCCTATAATGTTCAGTGGTGCAGAGTAAATGCCTTACCACCACCAATAAGGCGATCCAGAGACAATCACAAGTCTGTGTGCATTCAAAAAAAGGAAAGCAGCGTTGCGCCTTGCGAGTAACGTTACGGCCAATGACCCACTGCGACGATCCATCCAAGACAAGGTGAGTGATTTGCACAGGAGGGCCTTGATCGGACGTTAGAGTCAAGACAATCGATCCCAGGATGCGACGTGCAGGACTGGCATGATAAAAATAGTCGGGGCTACGATGAAGTGCAGAGTCGAGCTTGTCGAGCGGGTAGCGAGCAAGTGCGCAGTAGAGTTTTACACGCAGGTCGCGTGCGGGTCGGACGAGCACCGCGGCCTTCAGTCCTCGTTTTATAACAGCAACGTAAATGTACAAGTACAGAAAAAGGCTACAATATACGGACGCCATGCAGTGGAGATTACATGGCGCAATTACCAACAATATGAGGTCGCTAAATTATCACGGCAGCTGTGACACGACAGCGGTAGTTCATAATCCTCCCCTTTCAGCCGAAGTTTTTCTCAGAGTGCTCCGTCTGCGCGAGATCCTCAAACTTGAAGCAGATCCTCCCGGTGAAAAGAGTCAGTTGCAACGCACCATTCAGGCTGCTATTCTTTCTGGTGATAGGGTCAGCAAGATTGGCGTGACCGGGGGTCCAGGAAACCTTGTCTACAGCACCAGTCTGGAATTCGTAGCGTATGCAACTCACATCACCGCGGATTAACTTTTCGATGGAGTTCTTTTGAGTCGACAGCGATGTGAAGAGATCTTTTGATCAAAACATTCGACTCCAGTCCAAAGCAAGGCGTAACTTGATATTAATGTCACGTAGCTCCGAGTACGCTTTGGCGATCATCTTCTCTTCGTCAATTCCTTCAGAAGCGGCAAGGATCTCAGCAGCAGATACACTCTTGACGGGGCGCTTAGCCCTGTGCGACATCCAGGAGATGACGTGGTAGATTGAGTTCTCTTCTATCTCATCAATCAGCAGACCGGTGAAAACACCAAGTTTTCCAACGTCATCTGTACGAGATGCATCAGTAAACACCAAGATACTTAGCTTAGTCTAATCTTTATCCGTGGGTCGGGGATAAGAAATTGTTGTGCCCAGCCTTTTGAGCTTGCGGAGGACGTTGACCTGTTCAATCAAGTGACAGACTTCCAGATCAGTGCCTTTTGTTGCATGTAGCTGGAGTAGAACGAGAAAAATTTCGACGCTGCGGTGCCAATCCATCCTAGCGAATTGTTCGCTGAGGCTAAGACAGACTTCTCAATATTGTTAAGTGGTTGGTCCAACTGCTTGCAACGTTGCCTGGAGAAGGGATACTCAGTAACTGCCTCCAGTTTTCCATCAGCATCAGTCTCAGCAGCGAAGTCTCCGTTCTGGACAGTGTTGATTCCAAAGAAGCGAAGCTTCCCAGGTCTATGCTTGACATCGCCAAACTTGAATCGCATGTCAAACTCTTCGAAAAAGTGTTTGACGCGATCTCCTTTACCCGCATCTTTTAGTTCATCCACAACCTTGGCAACAACGAGTACCAGACTGCCATTATTGTTCTTATAGAAGAGCTGAGAAACATATGCTGATTGGGTGAGTCCAATTTCTAACATGAGATTGTAAGACTGGAAATGCCATTTCGCATTGGCGTTGACCAGTCCATATGCCGCAGTGAGCAATAGCCAAAGATTGCTTGCTCTCATTTTTCTCTCCCAAGGCGGACGAACATATACATCCCGCTGCGCTTCTCCAGTCTGTAGAAAAGATGCTTTCACATCAGCTCTGTACACAGTCTACCCAAAAAGGGAAGCCAATGATTCGAGAATGCGAATGCCTGTCGGTGGACATGTCATGCAGTCCTTGCTCAGCTCGTTCTTCATGTCATCCTCGTTGCCGTTAGGGGCGATACGCGCCTTGAGCTTGAGCGAGCCGTTTTCGTTCTGCTGCACCTTGTGTGGGACGTTGCTACTGATTACATCTGAGCTAGCAAGAATGTTTTGATGCGTAATGGGACTTACTGTCTTGAGGAACGTCTCCTCTTCAGCCTTGTAGACATTGACCAATGAAAACTGCTCGAAACCTTGCGCTTGATGCCTCAGGACGGGCTTGCTGCCAAAAAGCTCGAGCATCGAGGTCAAGACCGCATTTTCAGTGCTAGTGACTTGTAGCTCATTGAAAAGTGCACTAGAGCTGGATACAAGAGAGTCAGTAAACTTCCATACTCCCTTCGTGATGTCCAGGCATTCAGTCTCTCCATCATCGTAATGCACGTTAAGACGACCGTCTTTTTCTTCAGATTCCACAGTAGTAGGGTAGTACTCTTGATCTAGTGGCGAAATAACAGAGATCTTGTCTCCAACGCACGGTTCGACTTGGGCAGAGTCGAATGAGAAGTCGGCATCAGCAGCAGCGCTGCCTTCAGGTGATCTTGACGGATGGGAATCAAGTCAAGTGCCAGGTGCTTCAATTGGAAGCTCACCAATGGTATCGATGCTCTCTTGTACCATGTGAAAAAAGCTCTGCTGTCGCAAGGCCGGGCGTGCATCTTCAAATGC